CCTGGGTCCTCTGGAAGAGCAGCCAGTATTCTTAGTTGCTGAGCCATCTCTCCAGCCCCGCTCCAGCCCCTATTTATACATCCTTAAACTACAGGTACCTTTGCTTCAGATCCTTGAGGCTGGACTATCCATCTCATTGTTCATGTCAAAGCTCTAAACCTTGTTTATCTTTTAGCATCAATCAATAAAGTAAAAAAGGAAGCTGAGCAAAATCAATAAGATACCAAGACCATGAATATTTGACAAAAATCAGAGGAGGGCATAAGGAAAGTCACAGCCTATAAATCCGATGTGGGCAATTAAAAATAAGTCACTAGCTGGTGCTGCCAGGCCCAGCTGCAGCACAGTGAACTGCCAGTGGCCAGCAGAAGGGACAGCACTGGCACACGCCTGCACTTTGATGCTAAGCTCACTCATTTCTTTCCCACTAATACCACTCTGTGAAGAAGAGTTTTTGTTTCTCAAGGGAGCAACGTTGGGGTCAGGATAGCTGCTTTCAGAGCCTTTCAGTGATTTCCTTCCTTCAAGGCAACAATGTCCTTTTCTTAGGCTTGTTATCACCTCCTGTCCTTCCTCCACTGGCTTCTACTACTACTCTCGTCCTAGCTCATCAGCTTCCGGGGGGCGGGGGGAGGGAACAATGCAACCAGGGCTGCGGAGAGAGCCACAGAGGCACTTATGCATTAGTCAATATGAATGGGATGGGAAAGCGGCGTCTGGGTCTTCTGTAAGTTAGCTTCTGCTGCTATAAGGAAGAGGGTTGTCTCAGTTCAGGTTTCTATTGCTGTGAAGAGACACCTTGACTATGGCAACTCCTATAAAAGAAAGCAATTTAGTTGGGGCTGGCTTACAATTCAGAAGTTCAGTCCATTATTGCGGCACTGGGAAGTATGGCAGCATGCAGGCAGACATGGTACTAGAGAAGGAGCTGAGAGTTCTATATCCAGATGTGGAGGCAGCAGGAAGTAACTGTCACACAGGCGTGGCTTGAGCATCTGAGAACTCAAAGTCTGCCCCAGTGACCACTTCCTCCAACAAAGCCACATCTACTCCAACAAGGCCACACCTAATAGTGCCACATCCTATGGGCCAGTGAAGGCCATTTTTATTTAAACCACTACATTCCACTCTCTGGCGTCCCCTAGGTTTGTAACCATATCATAATGCAAAATGTATTTAGTCCAACTTCAAAAGTACCCACAATCTATAAGTCTCAAACTTGCTTAAAAGTCCAATGTTCAAAGTCTCTTCTGAGATTCATGGTAATCTTTAAACTGTACTCCCCTATAAAATAAAAATGAAAAACAGATCACATATTTCCAATATATAATGGCACAGGATATACATCCATTCCAAAATTTAGGGAAAGGAGCACAGTGAAGAAACACTGGACCAAAGCAAGACCAAAAAACCAGCTGGGCAAACTCCAAACTCTGCATCTCCATGTCTGATGTCACAGCACTCTTTAGACCTCCAACTCCTTTCAGCTTTGTGGACTGCAACACACTTCTCTCTCTTGAGCTGGTTCCACTCCCTGTTAGCAGCTCTCCTTGACAAAGTATCTCACGACTCTGGCATCTCCAGTATCTTGGGGGTGGCTTCACCTTCACAGCTTCATGAAATGACCTCTTTAGACCTCCAAGCAGAGATACCCCTGACACATGCGTGGCCTTAGATGTTTTCCTCAGTTGTGGAGGGAGATTCCATAACCCCTTTCTTTTATCCTTGACTCTAAAGCCAGAACCACGTGGCCGAAGCTGCCAGGTTCTGCAGCTTGCTGGGCCTGGGACATGGTCCCCTTGTTCAATTACATCTTCACCAGCTTCCTGTTTTTGATGGTTATCTTCACTACCTAAGCGTGGCTGTCCTGGAACTAGCTCTGTAGACCAGGCTGGCTTTGAACTTAGTCATCTGCCTCACTCTGCCTCTGAAGTTCTGGGATTAAAGGCATGTACCACCACACCCGGCTCTAAGCTTTTCTTTAATTTCTTTTCCAAGTTGGAAACTTAGCTGGATGGGGTCTTGCTCTGAGGTCACCTCTCCCTTTATTCCACTTAGCATCAGGCTTTTCTTTAACCTGCTCACACTTCCTGAAGCCCCTTTTCTCCTTGGACTGTACATTTTGCATTTTTATTTGCTCAGCTTGCTCCTTTTCATCATAAATCTGTATAAGAGTGAACACTAGTAACCACACAACAGTCTATACTAGGCTGTTTTGAGATTTCCTCTGTCAAAGATGTTAATCCAAACTCTTCAATTTAATCTCAGGCAGATTTTTTTTTTTTTGACAAGAACAGAAAACAGACACATTTTTTGCCAAAATATCACAAGATCAATCTCTAGACCACATACTAATAATCCTCTCTTCTGAAGCCTTTTGAAGCAGGCCCCCACTGTTCAAATCACCTCAGCACCACTGTCTTCCCTGTTCCTACTAATATAGCTCATTAAGCCATGCTTAAAGCTTTCCAATGCTTTCTTAACCTGAAGTCTCAAAGTCCACATTCCTCCAAACAAAAGCAAGGTCAGGTGTATTACAACGATATCCCAGTCCCTGATACCAACTTCTGTCTTAGTTAGGGCTTTATTGTTGTGATGAGACACCATGACCATGGCAACTCTCAGAAAGGAAAACATTTAATTTGGGCTGGCTTACAGTTCAGAGGTTTGGTCCATTGTTGTTATGGTGGGAAACATGGTGGCATATAGGCAGACATGGTGCTGGAGAAGTGGCTGAGAGTTCTACATCTGAATCAGCAGGTAGCAGAAAGAGGAGACACTAGGCTTCATGCTGGGGGATGTTCTGTATGACAAATGTGTTGCTCTGATTGGTCAATAAATAAAATACTGATTGGCCAGTGGCTAGGCAGGAAGTATAGGCAGGACTAACAGAGAGGAGAAAAGAAAGAACAGGAAGGCAGAAGGAGACACTGCTAGCCCGCGCCAGGACAAGCAGCATGTGAAGATGCCGGTAAGCCACGAGCCACGTGGCAAGGTATAGATTTATAGAAATGGATTAATTTAAGCTAAGAACAGTTAGCAAGAAGCCTGCCATGGCCATACAGTTTGTAACCAATAGAAATCTCTGTGTTTACTTGGTTGGGTCTGAGCAGCTGTGGGACTGGCGGGTGACAAAGATTTGTCCTGACTGTGGGCAAGGCAGGAAAACTCTAGCTACAGCCTCGCTTGAGTTTCTGAAACCTCAAAGCCTGCCACTAGTGACCACTTCCTCCAACAAGACCACACCTCCTAATAGTGCCACTCCCTGTGAGCCTATGGGGGCCAGACTGTCTCCTGGACTCTAGGGCTGGACAGGAAAATAAAGACCACGCTTCTCAATTTACAAGGGCAGAGGGGCCAGGAGAGAACTGCCAGGAGGGTGCAGATTCCAGCAGGTTGTGGGAGGGCGAGGAACTCACTTCACTTGATCTGTATAGTACATGTCAAGCCTCAGACAGAGACCAAGTGCTATCTACATTGTACAGACGAGAAACTCTAGACAGGAAGTCAGGGCTGTTATCAGAGGCACAGTTGGGAAACTGTCTAACAGGATTTAAATGGGTGTTTAACTGTGTTTCAGCCTTTTGGCTAATAAAATCAGGTGGAGGTTATGTGGGGCGTTTACCCATCACCCCCACAGCTTCCCAGAGTTTTCTTGAGTGCGAGCAGCAGGAAATATTAGATAGAAGGATTTATAGCGGAGAATGTTGCGGAGATAAACAGATAGAAAATAAAGGATAGCCTCGAGAGTGCCTGGAACCTATTCCAACGGGCCCGGACTGTCTCTGGTCCAGGGTTTTTATAGAGACGCCAAGGGGTGGAGCAAAAGACCTCCTCCCCCAGCACAGCCAAGTGCAGACCATCTCAGACACCTGCACTCAGGCCCGTGGTCCTGATCATCCTCTATTTGGACCTGCTGGGTAAAGCCATGAGGAACCCCAGGAATGGGCTCCCACAAGGTTAGGTGTTTTTAATTCAAATTTCCTTTTAGTACTAAATTGTCCAGATTTGGAAGGAGAAAAAAGATAACAAAACAAAACTAAGAGTAACCAAGTATGGTGGGGCACACCACAATCTCAGCATATGGGGAGCCTGAGGCAGAAGGATCACTACAAATTTGAGGGCAGCCTGAGCTACATGGAGTGCAAGGCCTGCCTAGACTACAGAGTGAGACCTTGCATCAAAAATAGATAGATAGATAGATGGATGGATGGATGGATGGATGGATGGATGGATGGATGAATGAATGAATGAATGAATGAATGAATGAATGAAAGAAAGACCTGGGCATGGTGGTGCTCACCTGTGATCCTAGCACTGGGAAGGCCGAGACAGAGGATCAGGAGTTTAAGGTCTTCCTCTGCTACACAGCAAGGTTTGAGGCCAGCCTAGGTTATACAACACCTCATCTCAAAAAACTAACAGTGAGGGAGTATTAAACCTGTGAACTTCAAAGAGGAAAAACAAGCCGATTGTCTGATTAAGGCAAGCTGTATTTTGGGGTGCATCTGGGACTGGCCAGTCTACCTGCTTTTTCCTATGTTGAGATTTTAGAGAACAGCCCCTGTTAACCTCTTAAGGTCCCTTTTATGGGAGAGATAAAGTATTATGGGGGTGAGAGAGTTGGCTGTTATACATTGTTAGAAAAATACAATGAGCCAGGCAGTGGTGGCACACACCTTGAATCCTAGCACTCGGGAGGCAGAGGCAGGTGGATCTCTGTGAGTTTGAGGCCAGCCTGGTCTACACAATGAGATCCAGGACAGGCACCAAAACTACACAGAGAAACCCTGTCTTGGGGGAAAAAAAACCTCCAAAAAAGAAAGAAAGAAAAATACAATGAGCTTGGGCATGATGTGGTAGTGCACACCTTTAATCCCAGTACTCAGAAAGCAGAGACAGGCAATCTCTGTGAGTTTGAGGCCAGGCTGGTCTATAAAGTGAGTTCCAGGACAGCCAAGGCTGTTGTTCAGAGAAACATTGCCTCAAAAAAACAAAACAACAAAAAATGGGCTGGAGAGATGGCTCAGAGGTTAGGAGCACTGACTACTCTTCCAGAGGTCCTGAGTTCAATTCCCAGCACCTACATGGTGGCTCACAATCATCTGTAATGAGATCTGGTGCCCTCTTCTGGCCTGCAGGCATCTATGCAGGCAGAACACTGCATATATAATAAATCTTTAAAGAAAGAAAAATAAAAATACTAGGAAAGGAACAAGAGTAAGGATATATATCCTGTGAATAGAGTTGCAAATTTAATGTAAGTTGAAAAACATATTTTGCAGTTTACACCAGCTCTAAGAAATAGGAACTTATTCTTTTTTTTGGGGGGGGGGTCTGGCTAGGAACTTCTTCTTCTTTTTTTAATAATTTATTTTTATCTTATGTGCATTGGTATTTTGCCTATATGTATGTCTGTGTGAGGGTGTCAGAGCTTGGAGTTACAGACAGGTGTGAGCTGCCACATGGGTGCTGGGAATTGAACCTGGGTCCTATGGAAGAGCAGCCAGTGCTCTTAATCACCGAGTCATCTCTCCGGTCCCATATTCTTAATTACAAATAGAAACTTTAACTTGTGGGGGAGGTTAAGAGCACTGGCTGCTCTTCCAGAGGACCTGAGTTCAATTCTCAGCACCCACATGGTGGCTCACAAACATCTATATTGGGATGATGTCCTCTTTTGGCATAAAGGTGTCGTATAGATAGAACACTCATATACATTAAATAGATCTTTAAAGAAAGAAAGAAAGAAAGGAAGGAAGGAAGGAAGGAAGGAAGGAGAGAGAGAGAGAGAGAGAGAGAGAGAGAGAGAGAGA